GTTTGGTCACACAGCCTCCTCGACAGACTCAGGCTGGGCATGTCTCGGTCACATAGCCCAGCACAGACAACTGAGTCTGTGTCTTACCGGGGGCAAAGTTCTGAGCCCCGGTCTGCTGCTGAACAGGGTTACTGCATTCCTGCCGACCCAAATTTCGAGTTCCATCGCAGAAACATCTAAGACTTCAACCCACGTTCATAAGCAGAGACGATATCAGGAGCAGATTCAAGGAGTTCTCTTTTACTAAACGAACCTTGAATTGCTTCTGGGGTCGTCCTCGTGCACCTGTAGAGAAGAATCCTTGTTCTATAATTCGGTCCACTTCATATCCACCATCCATATCTGGCGGTATCATAGATGGTCTATGGGGGAATTCATCTCCTTCTACATAAGGTAACAACTTAGACGCATGAAAAACAGAATAGGTCCTGAGATGAGGGGGCATATCAATCCTATAAGACGGTCCCTCTGCATCTCCAATCACTTTAAGAACTTCCCAGGGTCCAAAATAGACAGGTAGGAGTTTCTGAGAGATATTTTCTTCTAGTGAAAACTCTTTAGACTTGACCCAGACCAAATCACCTTCTTTGAACGTTGATGGTCGTTGATGCTTATTAGCTTGTTCGATCATCCGGTCCTGAGCTTTCTTTAAGTTCTCCTTTACCTTTTTAATGTCTTCTTGAAACAATACTGCGTATTCGCGGGTCCCTGGAGGTAACCTAAGAAACTGGTCCCTCGTCAATACATCAATGGGACGCTTAGGTTTCCACCCTTTATGCAGTGAGTTAGGTGTTCGTCCTGTAGAGGTATGAACACTACTATTATATGCACTTGCTATCTTAAATAAGTTCTCATCCCAATCTATTTGATCGGGTCTTACATACATGCGCAGATGCTGTTGGCACAAACGGTTCATTTGTTCACTCTGCCCATTCGTTTCAGGGTGTTTACCTGACGACATGGTCAGACGTGTACCGTATACCTCCATCAGTTTTTGCCATGGCATACTTGTGAACTTGGTATCTCTATCAGATACAATGGATAAAGGGAAACCATATTCAGTCACCCATCGCATCTGGAACTTTTGAATCACAAGTTCCATTCTGGTTTTTTCGGGTAAGGGAATGAACATAGCATATTTAGAGAAACGATCCACGATCACCATCACTTGGCTATTGCCATTCCGACTTTTGGTGAGACTCATGAAATCCATGGAAATAGACTCACCTGGTTCACTTGGAATTGGTAACGGTTTGAGAAGTCCAAGTGGATTCTCATGTGAGGGTTTGTTTCTCTGACACACAAGACAAGTACGAACATAAGTTAGTACATCCTCTTTCAATCCCTTCCATTCAAAGCGTTCTCTAACTTCAGCGTAGGTTTTCTTGAAACCAAAATGACCTTCGGCGTCGTGACATTCCCCAATAATCAGACTTTTGATTTCTTCCTGATGAGGAATACACAATCGTTGTTCAGTTTGGTCTAACAAGAAAAGCAAACCATCGGTTATCTTATAGTTGGGAAGTAGACTCGGGTCTTTCGCAAGGACATCCATGATAGGTTTCCATATAGGRTCATTAACATAGCCTTGGCGAATTCTATCTTTTAGATCATTCCCAACGTCTAGGTAAGAGACAATGGCAMCAAAGAAATCACATCTTCTAGACAATGCATCTGCAACCACGTYAGACTTACCTTTGATAGTGTTCAACTCAAAATCAAAAGTATCAATGAATGCAGACCATCGTACTAGTTTATCAGAGAGCCTAGGCTGTGTCTTTATCCACTTCAGGGTAGAGTGGTCTGAGTACACAGTAAAGTGTCTCCCTAATAGATAGTGTTTCCAGGTGTCTAAGGCACAGACTAACACATACAATCGTGCAGACATAAACTCAATTGGTCTGTGAAACCATTGTCGTCGTTCTGTTGAAGAATTGCGCCAATCCCATACCGACTTGCATCAGTGGTGACAATAAAGAGAAGAGATGGATCAACAATTTTCAGAACAGGGTAATGAGTCAGAGCGTACTTTACCTTTTTGAACGAGGACTCACAATCCTTGTCCCACAACCAGATCATTCCTTTCTTTAACAATCTTCTCATTGGTGCAGCGATCAATGAGAAGTTCCTGACAAACTTCCTATAGTAGCTTGCCAAGCCAAGAAAAAATCGTAGCTCAGTTACAGACTTAGGTTGTGGCCAGTCTCTAATTGCTGATATTTTCTTTTCTTCAGGCCTGAGGCCATCTTGGTTCACTATATGTCCTAAGTATAAAACTTCAGACTTAGCGAACTTTGAAGTTGCCTTCTCGCAACTTACTCAAAACCAGACAAAGATGCTTCTCGTGTTCTTCTAATGTTTTACTATATACGAGAATGTCATCCAGATAAACGATGACGAAATGATCCAACCATTGACGAAATAACTCATTCATTGACCGTTGGAATGTAGCAGGAGCATTAGTCAATCTGAAGGGCATTACCATAAACTCATAATGGCCGTACCTGGTCCGGAAGGCAGTCTTGTGTTGATCTGCGGGTTCCACCTCGATCTGATGGTACCCAGACTTCAGATCAATTTTACTGAAGTACTTGCATCCCTGTAGTTGGTCAAGTAAATCGTCAATGCGAGGGAGTGGTTCGGCATTCTTGACAGTGACGGCATTCAACCCTCGATAGTCAATACATAGACGCAATTCACCTTCCTTTTGGGGCACAAACAAGACAGGTGCTCCATAAGGAGATGAACTAGGGCAAATCCATCCCTTGTCAGTAAGGTCCTGCAGTTGCTTCTTTAACTCCTTAAGTTCCCTGGAAGACATTCGATAGATAGGGCCCTTGGAAATTTTAGTACGCGAAATAATCTCAATAGTATGCTTTATAGTGCGTTCAGTAATTCCGGTGGGTTCTTTCTGCAGATCCTTATATTCAGAGAGAAGACTTTCAATCGTCGGAGGACAGGAAGAAGAAAACTCACCGGCTTTCTTTACCAGTACCAACATGACTTCCTGTTCCAACTTTTTCTTAGAAACCATCGAACGGAAAACTGGATAACTTATACATCAAAAGGATAGACTTGAGTCAGAGTCAGACTTATGATATAATTTAATTGGTTTCATTTCTGATTGCGCATCTTTGAGTTGCACAATCTTGTTTTTGAAATCAATGTCCGGGTTGGCTTCTTCATGCCAATCCATACCCAGAATGATATCAAAAGGTAAATTCTTTTCTATGAGGAAGGATAGTTCATGCACAATCTTATTTCCTTCCTTCGTTCGGAACTGACACTTAATACGATCAACAAACTGAGAGACAGTGATCGTACTCTTGTCTGCGAACATAGACGTTATAGGTCGAGACAACTCTTTTACCTTCATGCCGAGATGCAACTTACGGATTGCCTTCTCGGAGATGTAGGATCTCGTTGATCCTGGGTCTAACATCGCACCAACTCGTGTTCGTGCGATCTCAACATCTGCAAACAACAACTC